TTCTTACCAGGCTCCCCAGGGTCTGCTGTCTACCTACCTCTCTGTCCTTGTTTCTCATCTTCCCGACCCACCACCTCCAACCCCATATCCTGTGCCTGGTCACCCAGGTCCTTTTAGTTGCTTCAGGAAGTCCTGCCTTCCCCAGGTCTGAGTTAGGACCCATCTAAGTGCTCCTACAGAACTCTGAGCTTCTTCTATTATAACCACAGGATGCACTGTAACTGCCTTTTACATGACTATCCCTCACAGCAAGTGCCATAGGAGGGACCATCTTGATTTTGATCTTCATTGTATCTCCAGCGCCAAGGATTGTGCTGGGCAATATGGTAGGCACTTCATTTCTTTTGAAATGTGAATGGATCTGTAAAATGATATGATATTGATTTAGCAGGATTGTCACACAGAGTAAATGGCATAAGTCTACACAGTGTCTGATATGCAGCAGTGACCTTTAATCAGTTTTTCCCCACCCCTGTTTCCCTTGTCTGCCTTTTTGATCTGCTTTTAAAATGGTAAAAACTGGAAGGGAAACAACCCAACAGAGAGGGGGGAAAAAGACTTGAACCAGTCCTTCATAAAAGACGATATCCGGGCTTCCCTGGTGGCACAGTGGTTGAGAGTCCGCCTGCCAATGCAGGGGATGCGGGTTCGTGCCCCGGTCTGGGAAGATCCCACATGCAGTGGAGCAGCTAGGCCCGTGAGCCATGGCCGCTGAGCCTGCGCATCCGGAGCCTGTGCTCCGCAACGGGAGAGGACACAACAGTGAGATAAAAAAAAAAAAAAAAAAAAAAAAAAGGCGATAGCCAAGTGGCAAATAAGCATAACAAAAGTGCTCAATTTCATTAGTCATCAGGAAATACAAATTAAAACCACAATGTAATAATACCAACCTCACCCACCCAGAATGGCTAAAATGAAAAGAACAGATAATAGGAAATGTTAACAAGGATGTGTAACAACTAACTCTCTCATGGGTTTGCTCATGGGTGTGTAAAACAGAACTACTTTGGAATAATGTGTGGGGGCATTGAGTAAAATGAACATATTCATACCTCATGACTCAGCAATTCCACTCACAGATGTGTACCCAACACAATTGTATTCGTATGTTCACCAAAGATATGCACTAGAATGTTCACAGCAAAGACTGCAAACAACCCAGATTTCCATCAACATCAGAATGGATAAACAAATTGTTTATTTACACAAGAAGAATACTACACAACAATTAAAATGAGCAACCTATGCACAACGTCATGGGAGAATTTCACATGTCATGATAAGAAAAAAAGCGAAACACAAAAGCATACATGCTACATGATTCCATTCATATGAAGTTCAAGGACAGACAGAACAAATTATGGTGTCAGAAGTCACAATAGTGGTTACCCTTGGGGAGATGGATTAATGACCAGAAGAGGACACAAATGGGGCTTTGGGGATTCTGGTAACTTTTTTTCTTGATTTATGTGGTGGTTACACAATGTGTTCACTCTGTGAAAATTATTTTATTCACATTATTATATGACAATAAGTCTGGGAACCTAGATTTTGGGAAGGTTTCTATCATTCCTTAAATGAAAAGAGTGGCTTGCTGTGCTAAACTGTTGGTAGGAACCACGTGGTTTTGCTTTCCTTCTGGGAGTATGGAATTCTGGTGCATGCTAGGCAGAGGGTGCCTATGTGACCTACCTCTACTAAAAGCCCTGGGCCCCTGAGGTCAGGCAGGCTTCCCTGGTAGGCAAGATTACATACCTGCTATCACAATTCATTGTTGGAAGAATTAAATGTGTCCACTGGGAGAGGACTCTTGGGAGCTTGGGCCTGGTTTCCTCTGGGCTTCCCCCCATGCACCTCTTCCCTTTGCTGATTTTGCTTTGTGTCCTTCCACTGTAATAAAATTTAGCTGTGAGTACAACTATATGTTGAGTCCTGTGAGTCCTGCTAAGGAATCAATGAACCTGTGGGTGTTCTGGGGGACCCCAATGCAGAGTCAGAAGTGGGCTTCCCTAGAAGGACCCTGACTCTGAAATACAGTGAAAGGACTGTTTGGGAAAATGAAGGACGAAGGGGCAGGAGATGCTGAACACTTGGTGTCAGGATGGCTCTGGAGATAGGGCTGGCATAAAACAGCAGTTCGGCTGCTGCCTCTTGTGAGAAGGAAAAGTTACCGATAGAATTTGAAAATGAGAGCTCAACTCCAGAAGAACAGGCTTGCAGCTGCCCTGGCTACTTGCTGGCTAGAGTGAGAGGGGAGATCCAGCCTGAGAGATGCCTTTGCTTTCATCCTCTCCTCCAGAGCCCAACTCTTCCAAAAGAGGAGCTCGCGTGGGCTACAGAGGTTGACATTTGTAATGTTTTTTCCTCTAAGGGGGAGGGCAAATTGGTTCCCAGGAGTAAAGCTTTAGACCAACTAGAGAAAAAATAAAGGAGGAGGCAATGCAGCCAATTCTTCAGGCCCATATCCCCCTGGCACTCCAGCCAAGATTTCCTGGCAGCTGTAATGTTAACCATGTAAATGCTGAATTTACTGCATGAGATTTGAGTAAATTTGAAAAATGAAAAAAAAAAGGGGAGGGGAAATTTTTAAAATGGCTTTTAATTTGTGGCTAGGGCATTTGGATGTATGGCAAAAACTGAAGAAAATTGTTATCCTTGTAATTTCACAAATGCTAGAGGGATCATCCCAATCAGGGAAACTGCAAAAAAAAAAAAAAAAAAAAAAAGTATTAAACACAACTTCCTTGCTTTTTTTGCCACTGATGAGTAGATTAGAATTTAAACTCTTTGGATATTAAGCAGAATAAGTCTCCATACTGATGATTTTCACTATGAGTTTTGCCTATTGGAGCCTCTGGCGTGCCAAAACTGGGTCCGTTTGCCCAGTGCCCAGCGCAAGCCAAACACTGAGACGCCAAGGTTTGCAGTGGAGAAAGGGTTTATTCACCAGGCGGCCAAGCAACAACATGGGAGAAAAAGTCTCAAATCCGAGGGGCTGGGATATTTATGGGATAAAGAAGCAGGGTGGTCTGAGGTGTGGGGACAGACGACTGGAGGCAAGAAAAGGTGAAGTAAGCAGTGTTCTGTGCAGGCGTATCTGGCTTGTGTGCTCCTTCATCAGACATGTGTTCAGAAAATGGTGGCTAGCATGATCTGAGGGTGGAGGTTTTGGCCTCTGATGTCAAAAGGTCATCCACTGGACACTCGCACAGGCCCAGTTAAGTGGTCTCTACTGGTTTGAACTGGACAAGACTAGCTCCATGTTCCTGGAAAACAACTTAAGCAACCAATTCTATAGCGACCCACACATCAGAGGTGTTATCTGTAGGGGGTTGGTTAAAGGAGTCTTGTGATATATTGTCTAAGTTTCATGAAGCTTGGAGGAGATGCATTTGAGAGAACAATTAAGGCGAGCTTAATCAATGAAGGCAGGTTACAGGATATTATTTACTACGCAAGTTATAATTTAAGGGATCTAATTGATGGTTGCCCTTGGTTTCACTGGGAAAAGGCAATTGATATGAAAAGAGAAGCACTCACCAGTAGAAAACACACTTTGGAGATTTAAAAAGCAGTCTTTAGTAGCTAATGCCCACCTGTAACCATATCAGATCTTGTAAACGCTGACCCTAACAGGCTGATGATTTTCTTGTCTGCTGTGCAAATTCTGAGTGTATCAACTTGGACTCTAAGAATAAGACAGAAAGTGCTTAGGAAAGACTGGCTTATCACTGGGCTTGGAACCCAGCCCTTTGGTCCACCAGTGTCAGACTTTTCTGCTGCCAAAGAAATGCTATTGGCCTTTTTGGAGTCCTGAATTCACTGATTCTAAGGGCCTGAGCCTAACCTGAAATCTGATACTCTCTGCTCTGGGTCTTTGTAGCCTCAGCTGGAGCTGGGGTGAATGAAAAGCTGGACCCGAGCTCTGGGAACTCTGGGACCCATGTAGATAAAGGGCACTAAACAATGAGAATGTCATGGATTCTGGCTGGACTGTCTGGGTCGCATACAAGGGTCCACAGGAAAGGGCTTAGGTTCAAGATGGGACCCTCTGAAAAGGAGCTCCTGATAGGCTCTGCGCTTCTGATACAGAGACTGATGGTATTCTGACGGTGGTTGCCAGATGGGGAGGGCACACCTCAGGGCCTGTAACCCCTCAGTCCCCTCCTGACAGATGGGGCTCTCAAGCCCCTCTCAGGGATGCCTCCTTGCTGTTCCCAGGTCAGCTCAGCTCAGCAGACGCACCGATGGCCCAGCTCCCTTCCCTCCCCCTCCCCTCTCTCCTGGGCCCATACCTTAAGAGGCAGTTTGATAATCAAACGCAGCCTGCTCTAGAAATCGATGTTCACAGGATAAAAGATCAGGATGAAAAGGAGGGAAGTAAGGAAAAGGGAAGTAAGTAAGGGAAGTTATGTAAGCCCATTCTGAAAGGTGTTGAAGATTCTGAATTTCATCCCCACCAATTCTTGAACAGGATTATCTTTCTGGTTCAGTTGTATAAAAATGTTTTTCTGTAAGAATGCTTTTTTTTTTTTTTTTTGCGGTACGTGGGCTTCTCACTGCTGTGGCCTTTCCTGTTGCGGAGCACAGGCTCCGGACGCGCAGGCTCAGCGGCCATGGCCCACAGGCCCAGCTGCTCCGCGGCATGTGGGATCTTCCCAGACCAGGGCACAAATCCGTGTCCCCTGCATCGGCAGGCGGACTCTCAACCACCGCGCCACCAGGGAATCCCCTGTAAGAATGCTTTTGATCCTCTTGCATACAACCCTTCTGGTGAAGGGTTTGGATGCCAGTAAGGGATGATTTTAACATGTAAGGTTATGATTGCTAAATGGGACACACTGAGTTTGAAACAACAGAGGAAAAACCAAACCCCAGCACCTAGGGAGGCTCAGGGCAGCACTAATGCCATTTTTCAAAACTGTCCCTGGAAGCTGCCCCTCTTCCTGAAGGAAAACTCCCTGAGCACCTTTCCAAGCGGCTGGAAGCTTTTAACTCACACTGAGCCTTTATCACACCTGACAGCTCTGAGCATGGGACAGCAGGGGCAGCCCAGCTCCCCGCACTTCATGTGGAGAACGCCTGCAGATGCTGTCCACTTGCGGGTGGATGAACTTCTGTCACAGACAAGCCCACCGTTCATAACTGCCAGCCTTGGGCAGTCCCTCCGAATCCGAGGACTGAGTTGAACTAACTGGATGGAACTGGAGGCCTTTGGAGGGAGCCCCATGATGGGGACCCACAGTGGGGGCCCTGTGAACCTGTACTGCCTGCCCAGGGGCTGTCCTGTGCCCCAATGATCATCAGCTCTTGGTTTCCAGGGGTTCCACGTGCACCCTCTGGGGTACTCTTCTTGTGTGTTGCACTTTCTAGCACCACCTCAGTCCTTGGAAGCCTTCGGGTCAGCTTTCACATTCCGTCCAGAGCTGTGCTGAACCTCATCTGATGCCTCGGACCAGTAAAAACTTGACAAGAAAGCCACCTGGATTGCTAAAACAGCCCTTTATGGTTACTGGGCTTTGTTTAACTGGCAGAGTCCTGAACTTCTAAAGGGCATGACTGAGGTCAGTGCTGCAGGCTGGTCTCATCCTGCTGCATGCGCTCCTAATGAGAATAATTTTGCTGCAAAGATGCCTTGGCCAAGAATGGAAGGGGTGGACAGTGCAGAAAAGAGCGAGTATAGCAGGCCTGAGACTGCACTTCAGAAAGACCGGCCCTTCTTCCCTGGTGGCGCGGTGGTTGGGAGTCCGCCTGCCGATGCAGGGGACGCGGGTTCGTGCCCCGGTCCGGGAAGATCCCACATGCCGTGGAGCGGATAGGCCCGTGAGCCATGGCAGCTGAGCCTGCGCGTCCGCTCTGCAACGGGAGAGGCCACAGCAGCGGGCGGGCCGCGTACCGCAAAAAAAAAAAAAAAAAAAAAAAAAAAAAAAAAAGAAAGACCGGCCCTTGGCTAGCACTGGACAACATGGGTTTCAGGAGGGCTCTCTCCAGTCCTGAGAGGATGAATGGCTCGCTGCGCTGAGCTATTTGTACAAACCATGTGATTCATGCTGAATATCTGCATTCCTTCTGGAAGCCTGGAGTTTGGGTGCCTGCCACGCAGAGGCTACCTATGTGACTGACCCCCGATAAAACCCCGGGGCCCTAGGCTCAAGTGAGCGCCCCTGATAGATGACATATCACATGTGTTGCCACAATTTGTTGCTGGAGGAATTAAGGTACATCTACTGGAAATCTATTAACACTCCAGAAAGCCTGGTGCCCTCTAGACTGCCCCGTGTGCCTCTTCCCTTCACTGATCTCACCTTGTGTCCTTTCACTGTAATAAATCACGGCTGTGAGTCCTCCTAACAGATCACGGAACCTGGGAGTGGTCTTGGGGATACCTACACACTATGGAAAAAGGACAAGAAGGATTAAGAGATTTGTAGGAAGGATGAAGAGAGCTCAATTCAAGAAGATGGTAAAAGGGACAAAGACAGGAAACGAGGCAAGAATCAATATAGCAGCAGGACTGAACTTGTGGCCCCTGGGGCTGCCACCCACAACGTGAACTCAAGGGCTCACAGGATTGTCCAGAGGACAGTCCTCAGATGACCCCTGCACAGCACAACTGCCAGAGGGAACAGAATGACCAACACCCCCAACTCTACTGGAAGCATGAGCAGACCGGGCAGTAATCCTTTTAGGATGTACAGATGTACAGGATTTAAGACTTTGTGTCCATTTTGTTGAGCTTTTGCAACCACTCTGTGAGGCAGACTGGACAGGGATGATTATTGCTCCTAATTCACAGAGCATGTAAAGGCCTCCTGCTTCTAGAGTCACAATTAATTGTCCCAGCTGTTTGTACCACTTTGATAAAACTCACCGTGATCTACCACATGGGCGGTTCACTGTGCAGTTCTGTCTCTTCTACTAGACTGTGATTTCCTTCATGGGGCCTGCTCTGACTTTTTTTCCTTGTCTTTTTTTGGGATGGGGGAGAGGATAATCTTTTCTCATGATAAGTTCATTGTGGGAAAATAATGAAAATAAAACAAAATAAAAATCTCATGTAATCCTTACTTTAGTCATTTCTGTGTCCTACCCAGATCCAAGAATAACCTGGCACACAGTAGGTGTTGAATCAACAAGTCATTGATCTGCTGTCAGCTAAAGGGCTGTCGGAAGATGACATGAGATTAGGCCTGGCACCTAACAGGCTATCAATGCTAGTTGAGTATCAGTGTTATTTTTTGTTGTTGGTGGTGATAAGTTGAAACAGGAGGAAGAATATCACCTTTTTTGGCTTGCAGAACCTAGTGAAACTGGTCTAGCAGGTCACTTGTGAAACCAACCACAAAAGTTCTGCACCTAAGAGACCACATGAGTAAAATGTTAAAGTCAGCAGCTTCCACCCCTGAGATGAGACACCGAGTAGAATCAAGCATCTCATCCAGGTGTGAGGCTTCTTTTTAGCATCAGCCTGACTGACTACCTGTGACTCACTCAATGTGGAATGGCTGACTTTGTCTTCGCATCTCATGAATGAGTGTCTGGGCAAGGACAAAGGAAACTATTAGGGTGGGGAAGGGCAATTAAAAACTCCAATGAAGAAACTGAGGAATGACCAGAAACAAGCAATGTACAGAGTTGAGACATGCCCACTTGAAATCACATCATGATGGTACCTTAGTTATGTCTTTAAAAATGCAAAAACTGCAGTAGACAGAAAATATGAGGGGGGAAAAAAAAGCTGTAACCAGAAAAGGCCAAGGTCAGCAAGCAGGGAGGGAGCTACAAGATCACCTACTGGTATTCCCTGCAGCCACAGGAGTCTTCAGGGATGCTCCAGATACCACAAATCATTAAGTATCTCTTGCCAAGAAGATGTCTTGCTGCTTGAGGAATCTTTTCAAGCTTTTAATCTGTTTTTGTTCCAGTGGTAGAGATCTAAAAATTAGTGATATATGCCAGGCCTATCTTTTATAGTTAGGAATCTAAAGCCCAGAGAGGGCAATTAACTTGTTCAGAAAAACTCAAGGGCAGACCTGGGTCTTCAACCCATAAGTCTTGCTTCCCTAACCCACATGAGGATAAATTGATAAAATTGATAGATGCACTGGTTCCAATTGATGTATGATACTAGACATGGGCCTCTACCTGCCCCAAAACTAAAGGAGGTTTTCGTGAGGGCCCTCCTCTTGTCATCAGAAGGTGAGGTTCAGAAGGGCTTCAAGATTTGGGGATCAGAGGGTTCTCACTTCCTGAAACATGACCTCCCCAGATTTCTCTTGCCTGCTGCCAACAACCCCCCCCCCCCCCCCCCCCCGCCGCTTTTAATCCATGCCATTCTGACTCAGTCTCTCTTTACCTTCTGCTCTCACCTTCCTGTCCCTCTGGGCTCAGTCTGGCCCTTGCACTGTGCAGTGAGTGAGAGGTCCTGGATGTCTCCACTCCCTCTTTCATTGACTCTCTCTGGGCCTGGATAGGGTTTACCTCCTTGCAGTGTCCCAGGGCAGCTAATCAATCCCAGTCAGAAGAGTCCTTGAGGTCTTACAGCTGGAAGTAAACTTTGAGGAGGAAGGACATATGAGAAAGGAGCAGAAATCACAAATTGATCCGAAAGAAGCTGTGAGGGGGACAAGGACGCATTCGTCATCCTTAAGAGGCTTATGATCAAGAAGAAAAGGCAATAGCACAGGGAGATCTTCTCAATGCTTTGCGATGACCTACAGGGGTGGGATAGGGAGGATGGGAGGGAGGCTCAAGAGGGAGGGGATATGGGCCATGTGTATGCATATGGCTGATTGGCTTTGTTGTGCAACAGAAACTAACACAGTACTGTGAAGCAATTCTACTCCAGTAAAGATCTATTAAAATAAAAAGAAGAAGAGGGAAAAGCAAGACAAGTACATAACTCATGGCAATATATAAGGGCTTTAAAAAGGTTTACCCTTGTTAGATAAGAATGAAGGAAGTTTAAGATGCTTTGATAAAGGCTTCGGGGAAGAGGCAATAATTCAAACAGGTTAAATCATTCACCACCCATTCAGCTCCCTTCTAGCTGGCCCTTAGAGGCTAGAAAGCCAGAGACCATCCCTGACTTGCTTGCAGTCGGGGTGGCGAGGAGACTCCTTTCTGGCCAATGAGACATAAGCAGGTTCCTTCTAGGACAGCTTCTACCACTTCTGCCTCGTTCTTCCAGGAACTTGGGTTATGCTTAGAGTACAGCAGCTGTCACTAAGGCAGGGACAGTAGGGAAGATAGAAAGAGCCTGGTTCTGGAAGGAATTCAGGATGAAGCTGCCACACCAGCCCTAGACTGCCTGCCCCTGGGATTCCTGTTACATGAGATACATCGATCCCTATTGGTTCGGCCCCTGCAGCAGAACTTCTCTTATATGCAGCTGAATCCAAACTGGCTGCTTCACAGGCCTTGGGAAAGTGATGGGATTTCAAACAAGCAGAGGTGGAGGGCAACGAAGGTGTAAAAGCAAGCGCTCCAGGATGGGGAATGTATGGGGCACATTCTCAGGAAGCAGGAATGAGTACAGAGGGAGATCAGAGGAGAAGTTGAGCGATGCAGTCTGGTGCCGGGGACAGAACCTGGAAGCCTGTGGACTTCGTTCAGAAAGCAGAGAGGGATTGCTAAGAAGGTAGCAGCACTTCCTTGGGGAGCTGATGTTAGTTCCTTGGCATCAAACACCAGGTGCCTCGGTGAGCAGGCCGGAGCAAGAGTGGGTGGCCTGTTTCCTTCTAATCTGCAGCACACATATTACATTCCTGTTTGCTCAGTGTGTACATGGAACCTCAGGAACCGCAGTACCACAAACTCCCTCCCATCTGAAGGCGTTACTCTCGTCACTTTCTTCCCACCAGCGCTTGCCTGGCTGGGAAAGCACAGCCAGAGCCCTCTGGCTCCTGAAGTGTGCCCTTCTCTGACTGCAGTCCGTGTCAGGCCACAGGCATCCTCACCAAGGATGCTCAAAAAGGGAAGCAATGAGAAGGCAGACATATGCAAAAACAAACCTGATCTGGGGTCACTGACGGGAAAATGGAAGTGGGAAAGATATCCAACCTATGATGGTCCTGAACAGGCTCAAGACCACCAGGCAGCAACACAGAATCAATTCTTCCCGGGTTGGACTTGTCTATGTGTATGTGTTTCTCTGATTCAGACACTTGGGCTCAGGGTCAAGGTGATACAGTGGAGAAGTACTGCTTCCAGTCTGCCTCCAAATAGATG